TGTTTGCTTGAACTACGTCGATATTTCCCCAAAGAGGAAGGGAAGATGCATCACAGCAACGGTAGGTATTTCCCTCAGTGATGAGACCAAGTTTATCAAACCAGTAGGAGAACCATACAACACAACCTAAACAACCCCTGCACACAAATAACAAATACTCGCAACCCAACGTGTTAAAGGGGTTGTCAATTTCTTTTGGGCAACAGCGCCAGAAATTGGCACGGAGACGGGATAAAGTTGTAATAGGTAGGATAAATAGATCGCAAATAAAATAAAGCGTAGCAAGGTATTTTTGTATCTTTGGTTTAATAGATCTGAAAATAAAAGCAAAAGAAATAGATCGCAAAGGCAAATATATTAAAGAAGAGACCCGGGGGCCGCAGGTTTCACTAGTGGCTTCTCCCGAGGAAAATATCAAACGGTGGGAAAACAATTACTGTTGGGAAATTGATAGAACTTCAAATAATCATGACGATATCCAGGCAATGATCATTATATAGGCATCACGTCCAAGGTTAGTAGACCGACTCCTGCCTGCATCTACTACTATTACTCCACACACCGATCGCTATCCAGTATGCATCTAGTGTATTAAGTTCATGGAAAAATGCAGTAATGCAATAAGAACGATGACATGATGTAGACAAGATCTATTTATGTAGAAATAGACCTCATCTTGTTATCCTTAATAGCAACGATATATACGTGTCGTTTCCCCTTCTGTCTGGGATCAAGCACCGTAAGATCGAACCCATCACAAAGCACCTCTTCCCATTGCAAGATAAATAGATAAAGTTGGCCAAACAAAACCCTAATATCGGAGAAGAAATATGAGGCTATAATCAATCATGCATATAAGAGTTCAAAGAAGACTCAAATAATTTTCATGGATAAAAACATAGATTTGATCATAAACTCAAAGTTCATCGGATCCCAACAAACACAGCGCAAAAAGACTTACATCATATGAATCTCGAAGAGACCATTGTATTTAGAATCAAGAGTGAGAGAGAGATAGAGAGAGAGAGAGAAAGAGAGAGAGAGGAAGTCATCTAGCTACTAACTACGGACCCGTAGGTCTACAAAGAACTACTCACGCATCATCGGAGAGGCACCAATGGACATGATGAACCCCTCCGTGATGGTGTCTAGATTGGATCTTGTGTTTCTGAAACTTGCGGCGGCTGGAACTGATTTTCATCGACTCCCCTAGGGTTTCTGGAATATTGGGGTATTTATAGAGCAAAGAGGCGGTGCGAGAGGCCACCGAGGTGGGCATAACCCACCTGGGCGCGCCTGGGCCCCCAGGCGCGCCCTGGTGGGTTGTGCTCCCCTCGGAGCACCCCTCTGGTACTTCTTTGGCCAACAGGTGTCTTATGGTCCAGAAGAAATCCACAAAAAGTTTCGTTGTGTTTGGACTTCGTTTGGTATTGATTTCCTGCGATGTAGAAAACAAGCAAAAAACAGCAACTGGCACTGGGCACTATGTAAATAGGTTAGTACCAAAAAGTGATATAAAATGATTATAAAATGATTGTAAAACATCCAAGAATGATAATATAACAGCATGGAACAATCAAAAATTATAGATACGTTGGAGACGTATCACCATAGCTTAGGGTTCACGTGGACAAAGCCTATATCAAGTATTGTTTCTTCAAGAATATGCATGTGATGGGAACTTGCTCAAGGCATAAAGATTCGACCTGCAGAGGACAATATGTATACCATGCAATTTGCTTGTCCATAATTGTGATAGGAAAAGGTGGGTTGTGTCTCTTATGTGGATGAAATTTTTCTCGGGGACGGCATAAATATCACCTAGTTGTTGTTGCCATAATCCCTTGCATTCATTTTTTTCGAGTGTTGTTGTGTGGATAAAGTTAAACCTTATATGTTGAAAAACCATTGACATACATCTAAATGGGTGGTCCCTATTCATTCCTCATGTAGGCTTCCCCTCCTAGACATGGGTTTCGGTATTCTATCATTCCGGCTTCCCCTCTTATACTTGTTATATCAAAATGTTTTGTTCTATTCTATTCCTATAAAGGTGAAGCAACATGCGGTTGACGTTCGCACATCACCACTAGAGAATTACACCACATCATATTATCAAACTTCAAACTTTATGTCATTTCACATGAGTAGCAACGATAGGCTTCTCCCACATCTGCAACCTCGGGAACATGGTGATTTACTTACAACAAATAATAATGAACATAATTAGTGGAGTATGAATATGACAAACAATTTGTAAGTATAAAGCATTCACCAATAACACATAAAACATCAACTGTTGAAAATCAATTAACACCAAGAAGTGATAAGCATAATCGATCTATAGCAATTGTAAATAAACGAGACGAGCCGGGTAAGTGTTGTTGATGGAGATAATGGTGATGAAGTAGATGAAGATGTTCCCCATGATGCCCTGGTGTTGAGAACAATGATGGTGTTGAATTCCTTCGTTTGGAGGCTAATTCTAGAGAAATCAACCCTTCAAGAAAAGGTAGTTTTCTCTCTTTCGCCCAATAGAAGAGATTGTTCCCCGCAATGCCATAATGTTGCGAACTACGATACAAAATCCTCCATCGATTTTACGGTCATCCGGCATCATATGTTGCAGAGAAGTGGCTAGTGGGGCTCTATACGCCCCACACGTCATATCCATTGAGAGCATGTGGACTTGACACGTCGCCCCATGGCCCCGGAACTGGATCCTCTAACATATAGCAGGGAAGTAAGAGAAGCTACAATATGCCTTCTTTCAATCCATATGATTAAGGCTAAAATGACTTAAATTAATTTTTAAATTACAGATTTTTTTTGAACATTGTAAATTACAGATCTACTGTGTACATTTATAGTATTTATATAGAAACAAATTGATGGTAAAACAAAGTTAATTTCAGAGTATTAATATCTACAGCAAATACCAACAGTAAACAACCTGCTAACAGTCCCTAACTTTTTTTCTTTGTTTTACACTAGGCTAGCACTCTAGCATCATGACTTTCCTTCTCTAAGTTAGAGGATCGGGTTCCCATGGCCCCAGTTTACGGGTCCAGGATTCATTTTTTACATCAATAATACATGTAGTATTTTTCTTCTGTTTTTCCTCTGAAAAAGTGTTTTCCTCATGTGACTATATTCTCTCCTATGCTGGCCTGGCAGATTTCCGGTCAAGCAACAGGGATCCGACCAGAGAGCGTGGAGATGAGTGCCGCCTTGAACCCGGGGTCCCTCGTCAGCGTCGCCGCCATCTGCTCCACCAGGTTCTTCCTGTCGGCCACCTGCTCCGCCGTCGAAGCTTCCTGCTTCCGCTGCTGCTGGACAAGCACCGGCGCCGGTGGTGCGCGGACGGCGGCTGCGTCGCCGCTCTTCCTGCCACTAGGGCCTTGTTGCTTGGGCGGCGGTGCGTGGTTGTGGTCGCCATCGTACGTGGCCACGAGCACGGCCTTGTCCTCGGCGCTGCGCTGCACCTTCTTCTTCACCTGGCACGACGGCGCGAACGAGCACCGGAAGTAGGCCCTTGGGCATGGGTTGTCCTTGGTCACCTTCTGCCCGTACTTCCGCCATTGGTACCCATCCTTCACCACCTGCTAGTCAAAATCAATCGCAAATTGATTAGTTAATGAACGGTAACAAAATTTCGTTGCGATCTATGATCACGAGGAAGAAGATCGACGGACGTTGCTGGGTGTTCGTTACTTACGAGGCTGAGGTCGGAGGGGTCGGCGTGGACGTAGAGCTTGGAGACCCTGCTGGCCTTGACCTCGTCGTCGCGGACGCGCTTGCTGTTGCAGGGCTCGTGGACGGGCGTGCACTCCGCCTGGTCGGGGCCGAAGCGGCCGCTGCTGCCGGCCGCGGTGAGGGGCGGCGAAGGGTTGCGGCTGGCCTTGTCGAGGCTGTCGCTGCGGGCGCGCTTTCTGGTCGCCGAGGCCGATGAGCCGCCCTCCGATGTCGTGGACGACTGGTGGTGGTTGTTGGCCGCCGCCATCATGCCGCTGACCTTGCCCTGCAGGTCGGCGTACTTGGCCACCAGCGCGCGGAGCATGTCGCTGAGCCTCCTGTTCTCCTCGCCCACTCGCCGGAGCTCGGCCTCCAGCGCCTCAACCTCGCGATTTTTCTTGGAGGACATGAAGTCCTCCGCCACAAGGACCTTGGTCACCGGAGGAGCACCTCGCCGCGCCGTAGGCCCGCCGACGTGGAGGCCAAGACTGAGGGAAGTCTGCCCGATCATCCACTGCTCGTCCATGTCTTCCTTGAATTCGCAGCAGCTCAAGAATGGAAACGAATCTATGGGCAAACAGGCGGCAGCCGAGGAAGAATTCGAAGAAGAAGACCGGGTAGCTAGATGGACATGAGCTAGAGAAGTGGTCGTGGCTTGGAGGAGGCGCGCAGTCATCGATTTATAGGGAGGAGGGGGAGGGGACATGAGAGGGTGGGGGTTCGGTAGGAAGGACGAAGCATCTTGGGGTGGGGCTCGTCGTGGTCGTGCTTCTTTTGGTCGCCGTGACCGCGATAGAATATTTTTAGTGAAGCTGGCAAGAAGTGGTACTACTAGGATTTGTTTTTGTTGGTGACAATCAGCATGGGGGAATCGGTGGATCACATGGATGGATTGGCTTTGGGTTGGAGTAAGTGGGAATTGTTTGATTAGTCGAGTGGGGTGGGACAGAACGGAGAAGCTCTTTCTTTGGGGTCTCCGTTTGGTCAAGGAGAGCCATCGCGTGGGGATGCTTTCATGCTTACATGTTGGCACCCCAACAAAGAAAATTCAGGGCGGCCTGCCTTGATTTTCTTTAATAATTACAGAAAGTGATACATATGTACGTACCTTTTTGCCGGCTTTTATTTATCTGAGTCTTGATGTTTTTCATACGTATATTTTTTTTAGAAAAAGATCCGGATCTATTATAAAGGTCAAACAGAAGTACAAAACACCTCAAACATAATAAATATTACATCAAGATTCCTGACCAACGAGTAGCCATTGCCGTCGTCAGAACGGACCGCGGACACGCCGTTGTCACAGTTCCCATACCGGAGCCGACTTGACCTTGTCGATAACATCCAGAACGTCATCATGCACGTGCCCCTAAGGACAATCGCCCTGGAGTCGTTATCCTCGCCGTTGAACCCCTGAATCAATCTAAAGAATTTGACGCTAAATTTCGTCGACGTGTCACCGAGAACCCTAACCTTGCCACCCTAGGAGCCGATGGGATTCTATGTTGAAGCTCCGTTGAATTTGTCCCAAAATACGAACTGGGGGAGAATCAGAGCCTGGAAGACAGGCTCAAAGAAGAAACGCCGCCATCCTCCCGACTGCCGCCCCTATGAGGACTAAACCCTAACTTATCTACTAACCGGAGCCAAGGTACCAGTATTCCCTTCCCCGCCACCGGAGCTAGAAGTAGAGTGGAGGTGAATTCATCGGCCCTGTAACCGAAGATCGATGAGACAAAGGCTTCACTTTGTTCACCTTGTGAGGGGTGAGATTAGAACAAGTTTTCAAGGTCAACCTGGTATCACAAATGCAATATACCTGCATGTAAGAATTTTGGAGAACTATGGTTCATAATATCTTTTAGGGAGTGTCTTTAATCAATCACATTGTTTTTTAATTTTTGGTTTAGTTTTATTTGTAAATACGGTAACTCTTCTATATGAGTCAACTGGAACATTGTGCCGCCCACTTGATGAGGTTCGTAAAAACAAACTATAAATTCGTATAACCCATTTCTGCATGTAAGGTTCTAACATGAGTTGTACCTTGTGTAGAAAAATTCTTGGGTTGGACCTCATCGCCTTTTGATTTTCAATGCAATACGTTCAAAGCATCTAAAAAGTCATGTTACAGATCAGGACTGATAAAACGCAAATTTCTAATTTGTTTCAAATTTTACTCATAATTTGTATTCCTCATTGTTTCAGTCCCTCCATGTGAAATTTGGAGTTTAGTAAACCACTCCTATTTTGTTAATACTTTAGTTATACTTTTTATTTTCATAAAAGTGTCGCGAATGTACTTTTATTTATATAATTATGCTTTTCTTGAATTAAACAAACAACTGATAAAATTGACTCATCCACGTCTTTTATTTGTTTATGTTATTACTCTTTAGGAGCGAGGCACAGTAAGTTGATACACCTTGTGTTTACTTTCTTTCGAGTTATTCGGAATTTAGGTACACTTTTCTGTTTTTTCGGGTGTATCCAAGAAAAAACATAGGTCCTTTTTTAGTTGCCTCTCTCAGGCATTCGTTTTGAATTAATTACGTATTACAAACACAGCCTTCAATTCCACTCCACACGAGTCGGCTAAATCAGAACCTACAATCTGATTCGGTCTCCCTCTCAATTTTTATTTAGTTTCTTTGATTCTGCCTCAAGATACGTACTGGACCTGGACCCAGCACGAACCAACACTTTTTTTTTCTTGAACATCAGCATAGACACAAGCGCTCATATACACGCGCATACACTCACCCCTATGAACGCAGGCACGCATACCCTACCCCTATGAGCACCTCTGAAGACTAAGCCGGCATATCATTTTGAGATTTACGAAGTCACCGTTTGCGCCTCGTCGTCGACGGAAACGTCTCCTCTCGCTGAATGCGCATCGTCGGAAATTCTGAAATACATCCAAAAATAAATGCGAGCATAATATTTGAATCCTGGTGGGCTGAGGTTACTACAGTTCCTCTAACCATCCAACCACAGGTTGGTTCGCCACGAACCTAAGACTGTGAGTTGACGTGATCTCGGAAAGAATGGGTACGCAGCAGGTGTCTGAACCAATATCCAAATTTGGCTTGATCTCTTCGCACCTTGCATGTACGCAGCCGGCCACTCCTAAATCCTAATTAGCTAGCAGAGAATCGGCAAGTCGATGGGGAAATAACACAGACCAGGTCACCTTGGTTGATTGGATCGTCACTGCTGATTAATTAACTAGTGTGTGAACAGTCCGCAGACTTCATCCACAGGACATACTTAACTAGTTTAATATGTGCACAAGTATGTGAGTACTATGCATGACGTACCACATGACACATGTGGTAATCAATCCAAACTATTTGAGAGAGAAATAGTCCACGCATCACATATCTTGTTTCAGACATCTCTATAGGACCAGTGCTGAATTCTTTGGAATATCCAGGTTTCATATGACAGCAAGACCACATCAAAAAGTAACAAAGAATTTGTTCAACTTTCTGGAAAAAATGAACATGAACAAGCAGAAAGGTTCATGAATGTTGACTCTGGGCTAGAGTCAATCGGGACCAACACTAATTAAAACGGCCGCATCAGACTAGCCACAATGGAGAGTAACAAATAGCTACTGGGAGAGCCAGCTACCTCCCATAGCTCTCGCGAACACGCTCGCGGCGGGCGTGCTCGCGATGGCACCGCCCTGATCTCTCTCCTCCGGCCGTCCCTGCATCAGGCTTGACCAGATCCGGGATCCTCGTCGAGCCCTCTCTCCACCGATGTCCTTCTTCCGCAAAGCCCCCTGGTGCTCCTCCACCTCCCGCCCGTCAACTCCGCCGGCCTCAGCTCGACCTGATGGCTCCTTGTCCGGACCCCGGGCCTGCATCCGTGACGGCGGCGGCTGCAGCTGCCACTCCAGCCGGGTTGCGCGTCGGCTCTGCGTCTGCGTCGGTTGCTGCCATTCCAGTTGAGCTGAGCGCCGGCTCTGCGCCCCTGTGGGCGGCGGCGGCCGTTGCGGCCTTGCTGGGCGTCGCCTCGGCGTCCGAGCCACCCCTGTTCGTCGGTCCGGAATCCCAGACGACCTCGTCTCTGCTGCCGTCGGCCTTGCCCGGTGACCCGGCTGGTCCGGGCGATGTGGTGATGCCCGTCGCTGTGCAGGGAGCTCCCAATGCTCTGGCAGAGGCATCAGAGAAGTTGGGCTCTCCTCTGCTTGGTCCATCTTCAGCATCGGCATGCAACAGCCTCTTTGCTGTCGCCGCCGCTCTTGTAGCCATGGCGGGCTTGGTG